GGGCGTGGCACGCGCCTCCTCTGCTCTAAAGACACTATGCAGACAATGAGATGCTTCAAAAAGTAGGTTCGTCCAAAACCAAGTTCTCTATTTAGTCGCTTAATCTTTAATCCGTTTGAATTTTGCAACAAAACTCTTCCACATAGTCGGACTCACAAACTAAAAACATATTGGCATTTTGTATAGGTCTTATTTGATTGTTTGGACTGCTGTGTTAGTGAGTCAAATTGAGGAATAACGCATTTTTCGACGTAAATAGTTATTTTTGAAGTAATGCGTTACTTTAAAAGTAACGCTTTATTTAAAAGTAGCGCTTTATTTCAAACTAACGCGTTGAGGTAACGGGTTACTTTCAAATAACGAGTTACTTTTAAGTAACGAACTACTTCTAAAGTAAAGAAGCTACTTTCAAAGTAAAGAAGTTACAGTAACGCTTTACTTTCCAATAAGTAACGAAAATAAAGTTATCATTATTCAAAAGTAACTGTAAATTTTAAGTGACGAGTTATTTTTAAACAAAAGTAACTGTGAAGTAACGATCCCAGCTCTGCCTCCGGCAGGCTTTCTCTCTTCTTTTTTGTTTAAAATGAGTTTGCCCGAAATTCTGAAGTCTGGCCCCATTTAAAAATATAATCTGGCACGAAATTTTCAGAGCTTGTGGCAACACTGCTTGTTGGTGTGTCAGAATGGCAAAAAAACTTCGGAATCTATATAATAATTATATACATACAATACAAAAGAAAATTTTGGAAAAATATTTTTTACTATAGGCGACTACTAGCTTTCATAAACCTAGCAATCCCTTAGTTTTTTTTGATTTTCTTAAAAACTAGAGGAGCACCTAATTTTTAATTAGAGGCCCTAATTAGCACCTAAAAAGCACCTAATTATTATATAGATCCCGAAGATTTTTTTCCATTCTGACACACCAACATGTAAACGTAAAGCTAGCAGTCCCCTAATAATTAAAAAAAATCTGTAACTTTAATAATAATTAATTAATTCTATTTTTTCTTGGACTATTTAGGAGCACCTAAAAAGCACCTAATTCTGATACAAAGAAAAAATTTGAAAAAATATTTTTTACTATAGGGGACTGCTAGCTTTTATAAACCTAGCAGTCCCTTAGTTTTTTTGATTTTCTCAGAAACTAGAGGAGCACCTAATTTTTAATTAGAGGCCCTAATTAGCACCTAATTATATAGATCCCGAAGTTTTTTTCCCATTCTGACACACCAACAAGTAAACGTACAGCCAGCAGTCCCCTTATAATTAAAAAAAGAAAAAATTTGAAAAAATATTTTTTACTATAGGGGACTACTAGCTTTCATAAACCTAGCAATCCCTTAGTTTTTTTTGATTTTCTCGAAAATCAGAGGAGCACCTAATTTTTAATTAGAGGCCCTAATTAGCACCTAAAAAGCACCTAATTATTATATAGATCCCGAAGTTTTTTTTTCCATTCTGACACACCAACGTGTATACGTAAAGCCAGCAGTCCCCTAATATTTAAAAAAAAATCTGTAACTCAGCTACTTAATAATAATTCAATTCTATTTTTTCTTGGACTATTTAGGAGCACCTAAAAACCACCTAATTCTGATACAAAGAAAAAATTTGAAAAAATATTTTTTACTATAGGGGATTGCTAGCTTTTATAAACCTAGCAGTCCCTTAGTTTTTTTTTTTATTTTTTCAGAAACTAAAGGAGCACCTAATTTTTAATTAGACGCCCTAATTAGCACCTAATTATTATATAGTTCGCTTGGGACTGCTAGGTTTATAGACCTACTCACATAAGTTGTCAATTCACCCTTAATCAAGATATTGATTAAAAACCTTAGTTTGTTATTGAACTTGAGGATTTTAAAAATTTACACACTATTTGACCCAAAAAAGTATTTTTTCGATAAAATGTCAGGAGGAAAATTTAAAATGTGTTTTAATCCCCTAGAAGGGGTAAATGTCACTCTTTTAGTCTCTAATGATATTGGGGTCAAGTGGCTCATTACTTGAGTTTCATTCTCAGATTTTGTGTGCACTGAAATCTATGGTTTTCAGGTTAATATTTCAACAAACATTGTTTCATTGAGTCTATAATAATTGGAAGATTAGATAATACATTGCCTCTAAAAAATTCAATGTTATAGAAAAAGATGGTACCTAATTTGTGTTTATTATTTTTCGTACTTATCGCTAAATACTTTCACAGGTAGCTTTCTTTTTCGGATATTCCTTTAAAAAAAAAAATCTTGAAATTGCAGTTTTTAAGCAAAAAATTTAAAACGATCTTGTCGATCTTGTTTAGTATTGTCAACGCAGTTTTATTTTTCAAACTGATCTTTAACAAGTACCAAAATAAAATTGAGAAAATGGTTTACTCTCTTCAAGAAAGAATTGAAATTATTTTCATTTATGTAGAGGTTGAAAAGTGTGCATAAAGAGGGAGTTTGTTTTCAATGAAAGGCATCCAAATCTAGATCTAAGTCACAGGTATGTACTTGATTTGAGATATCCTTCTTGATGAGGAAGTTCAAAATAAATTTCTTCAAATAAGTATCTGAACAGACGGGAATGTCACATCTGATTTTGATAGGAAAATAGAATTTTGATAGGAGAATAGAGTTTTGTGAAATAATTTCCAATCGAGTCAACGCCAGCCATAATCTTCTACCAAATATCCGTTTTAGTGGTGAATATTCATTTTCACTAAATGGCAATATTAATAAACAAAATTGTCGCTATTGAAGTGACAAAAATCCTATTTTTTTTCATGAAGGGCATACGCAGCATCACCAGAAAGTTAATGTTGTGGGCTGGGCTATACTTGGAAATGCCATTATTGGTCCTTTAGAATAGAATAGATAGAATAGATGTTTATTTCCAAAGATCCGAGCAAAGATCACATACATAATACAATAACATAACATAACATAAATAATTATACATTTAACAATAAGCATAAGAATAATTTATTATTAGAATTTTATTTATTTTTTTTTTTTTTATTTATTTTGAAGAAGTATTCATACAGTGTGCGCCATAAAGTTGGGTGCATATGGAAAAATTCCTTTAACTATTCTTTTTTTCAAAAAACTTTTTTTGGGGATCGTTAGGGCATGTTCGATAACCAAAAAATCGATTATGACACATGTCATGCGATTATCGGTTTAGCGGTAATTTTGAAAAAAGTTGATATTGATGTCGAAAAACAGGTAAATTTGGCAAGATATCAAAAAGATTTATGAGAAAAAGTTGTTCAGAATCCAAAAAGAACTCCACATGCCGATTTTGAAGCAAATCAGAGAAAAAAAAATAAAACTACTTATTTTACCCATACCATTAAATGGAAAATGAAAATATTAATTTTATTTCAAAAATAGCTTTATTCAACCAAACTACATAAGTTTGATATCAAATGAATCGAATGTTTTGCGGAATACACACTGGAAGGTCATAAATTAGAAAATACCGTCCGGTCGTGTCGCTATAACCGTACCCATGTCCCTTTTTGCACATTTTCTGGTCATCAGAAAAATAACATAACATGTGTCATAATCGATTTTTTGGTTATCGAACATGCCCTAACCATCCCCGAAAAAAGTTTTTTGAAAAAAGGAATAATTAAGAATTTTCCCATATGTACCCAACTTTATGGCGCACGCTGTATATACTCCTGGACAAAATTATCGCAGCACTGCACATAAGCACCACCATAAGCAGTGGTGCGATAATTTTGTCCAGTATTTTTCACTGTGTCAAGTTTAGAAACTCCTCCACTGTATAAAATGCATTTTCCAATAAAATATTTTTAATAATATACTCTAAAGACATTATGTGCCATAAACAAGGAAAATGTATATACAAATCAATCAAATCTATGATACTCTTTATTAAAGAGGGTGTAACCCAAAAATGAAAGTTTTAGTGCCAAAAAATCTAAGACTAAAACATATGAACCGCATCTTGCTAAGATGAACCGTTTTCAAGGTAGGTCGGTTTACAGTTACAAACGCAACGCCTAGGCTGTGATGTCACACCAGCTTCGGAGGCACAGTATTAACAAATGTTAATTTTCCCAAACACAAGTCAAGGATCTCTTTAGAGCGCATTGCAACCACTCAAAGTATTGAGCACTGTTCACTGACGACTGAATGAACAGAATGCTGCGATTTCAGCAGTTAGCCGGTGTGAAGTCACAAGCTCCAACAAAGTTTATCTTCATAAGGGATTTTCTCGGATTCTATATTGAAAATAGGAGTGCGGTTTTCACAAGAGATCTTAGATTTTGTTGTTTTTTTGGGTCACATCCCCTTTAAAACTGAAAAGTTTGAAATATTATTATCTGCTTACCCCATCGATATGCCAGAAGAGCTTGTCAAAATCTTGAAGTAAGTCTGTGTTTTTAGTTAATAAATTATTGATCCCAAAAGTTAGCAAAAATATCACATCACGACAGGCTCATAATCACGTTTGGCAAAGATAATCCCTTATTCAATTGGAAATTGAAATTATTGAGAATTGTATTGTAAAATTTCGCGAAAGTAAAATCGCTCGCGACTTTGAGGTGTCCGAAAATAGAGGTTTTACTAATTATTTTACTTAGGTGTCATTTTAACATTGAACGACTACTATTTTAACAACAACAAAACTAAAAATATTAGATGAAGGCAGTTAGTGAGGTTAGAAATACATTTCTAGTAGATCAACCATTATTCAGCATATTTTGCAAATACTTGGCTCAAAAATTCTCAAGAATCGGAAATAATAATTTTCAACTCACCTGCTAAGATGATAAACGAATAATTTTCCCGTTCAAAAAAATGGCACAAATTATTGTTTAATAAAATAAGCTATGACACATCCGCCATTTTATTTATAAATGATAAATGGCGGAAATGAACATACCCACAATATTTGAACAAAAGCAATATTTTCCAATATAATTGCAAATGCCCTGTCATTTGCGATCTAAAACGATATTGAAACATTATTCTTACCTGTTTACAACATTTTTGTCAATAGCTTGCCTCGTCCACTGGAAAAGTTTTATTATTTGTGCCCATGAAGGGCTACAAAAATTAGCTACTACAACACGTTTATGTAACTTTGCACCAATTCTAGTGAAATCTCCTCGACGAACTGACGTCCCCTTGACACGCGCTTCAAAAGTTTTTATTGGGTTTGCATAAAAAACCAATCAACAATGTTTTTTTTGGTAAATTTCTTCGAACAAAAATTGAAGGCTTCTCTTTTCACTGGAACTAAACTATAAATGATGAGATGACTTGTGATCGGTGGAGGGGAATGGAAAATGACATTTATTGACAACTGACAGCCTGACACAATTTTGCGCCTGATGCCGGTAAATTTCGCAAGGACACTGACCACACAAGGTGGTCCAACGCCTTGAAACTCTCCGCCTGGCCATGACGTCAGCGCGATATTACAATTGCCACTCTTTAAATACGAAAACGTACGTCGCATTCAATAAAGTTGATAGGTTTTCTGGTGACGTTAAACAGATGACGTCATCAAGACGATCTTATGGAGATTTTCATTATGTTTAGGCATCCAGATTACGTCATAAAAGTTATCAGGCAACCTAACTTCTTCAAACAACCTTGCTTTGCATTAGTTTCTTTATAGGTCAGGGGCAGGATTAAGAACATCTGATACGTAAAATTTTCGAGTCGAAGGCAAACTCGAACAGTAGACGCATCGTAACGAACGATAAATTGATTACGAACACAGGAATCGGCTTTAATCAGCTGTCCACAAGTACAATCGTAGAATGCAAAAACTCCCGCTGGAGATGACGTCAGCTGCAGTCCTTTATTGTTGCGTTTTTTATGGATTATGATTATGAATATCTAAAGATTGCAACTAGGGGCCATATTCTCCGTAGTTCATAAAGCCTCCTAGTGGAAACGCTTGGCTTTTTGCGTAACAAAGCCGAGCTTTTCCACTAAGCTAGGCTTTATGAACTACGGAGAATATGGCCCTAGGTTTCGTTTCATAATTTGATATTTAGAAATGTAAAAATTAAATCATTACAACAACCTTGTGTTTTTTGACAAACAGAGAATCATATTAATTATGATTATGCAACATTTGGCCAAGGGTGATTAGTAGGTATATAAAAGCCGTGTGGTTTATGGCATAAACTTTCTAATTTCCTCTCTTCAGTCTCTTCACGTAGATTTTCTTTTCATACTGTTGGTAAATTTGACTTTTAAATATTATTTGTATTCATTTCAATTATCGTTCTTCGCTTGCAAAATTTTTAATTACCTAAATTGTGAATCTTTTTCCGTTTTGAATATTTGGCTGAATTCGGCTTTGCACTCCACGGAGCGGAACGGTATGAGCATGGATATCGTGAAGTCAAACGCAGAGTGCGCCCTGAACAAGGTCATAAGCCGAACGCAGGATCGATGAAAAATCCAGAACCCTTGTCATAGTTGTCACTAATCTGGAAAAAGAAAAATTGTTTTGTTTTGATTTTATTTTATTTTACTAGTAAACAAGTAAGTAAATTAGTAATGGACCTGAAATAAAATTAGAAAAGAAATCTGGGGAAAAAAACCGGAAACACAAACCTAATTAATTTGTTTTGAAAATATTTTACGTTATAATTTTTTAAAATTGACAGTTGATAACTAATTTCTCTGGTTCTCCATAGCCGCTTTCCAGTATGGGAGTGTGACGCTCGGAGCTTCTCGGAGCGTTGAGCTCCCGAGCTGTACGTACGCGTCAACCTGTCAGCTGTCACATCCGTAGGTGGCTATTTATTTATTTATTTCTTGTTATAACTCGGGATTGAACTTTTTCAAAATAAAAGGCGATTTCGGCAAGCTTTGCTTGGTATGCCATTTGGTTAACCAATTGGTACCTGCAACGTCATAGTAATGACGTAAGATACCATTTTGTTCCGAATTCGTTTGGTAGGTCATGAGAGAGGGGAAGAGACGAGCCTTAACCTAACTTTGTGTTGTTCTTCTAGTTTCGGGAGCGACTAGATACTGACTGCACTGACTAAAATCTATAATCACTAATCAGCACTGTCTAGACAGTACTTTTGAGTTTGAGTAACCTATTGGCTAACTCAGCGTTTTCTGTGAATTTAAAGCTTATTCCATAATCCATCCAGCATAAAAGTTACCCCATATCTGTCGTTCAAAGCCATTTTTCAAATGATCGTCAAACATTATTTGGCAGTCAAAACATACGAGAAAACAGGAAGATGAAGGCGAAAAAACAAACATATTTGTTAAAAATTTCAAATTATTCAAATTCTAATGAACTTCCATTTATTTACATTTCCCGCAGAGCAGGACAAAACGAAAATAGACGTAGATAGCACTATACCAAATAGAAGAACCGTGCTGCTGACCACGGTATCCTATTTGACAGACCAAAAAGGATACCAAAGTCACGGTGACGACATCATTTTCGTATCCGAAATTGTTTGGTATGCATTTGACAGACCAAACAGGGTACCAAACCATGTACCAAAGCTTGCCGAAATCGCCTAAAGTTTTGATTCTCTTTCATTTTTCATAAATAAAAAAAACTAACTGCACAAACAAGCATAATTATTTTTAAAATTTGACATATTTGACACAGGCGACGTTCCGTAAGTTAACCAAGATTCTTGGTTTTTCCGGTTCCCGTTCCGTAACTTAACCACTCCCGAAATCTGGTTAGGTTATGAAACGCGGTTCCACACATAAACCGCATTCTCATGAACCAGACTGTCACCATAGAAGAACCGCTCCATACCAATCGGTAACTCTGGTTAAGATACGGAACGCCGCCTAAGATAGGCGTCTCACGCCATAATACTGGAACGGTACAAATAAAGCGCGTGGCGCCCCCGAGATGCTCTAGAGCGCGCCAATGTGCATACTGTAAAGCAGGAGGGAGATTCTAAAATCACGATTCGACACACCACTCGACAACGAGATACGCCCTTTCGTCTCGAAAGGTATGAATGAGATAATGAGATTCCAACCTAGGATCGTTGGAAAAAATCGTGTCGTTGTCAAGTCGTGTGTCGAATCGTGATTTTAGAATCCCCGACCCAGCTCTTCCATCCATCCACAGGCCATTTGGCGAACGTATGTCGTCTATCTAGGGTGGATGCTTGCGTATGTATGAATATGTTTTAATAAAAACCATAGATAGGAACACAAGAAAAACAAAACTCAGCTACAAAATAGCCCTTAAATCGATTTTTTTGTTTGGAGCTGAGGCCGTACTACCCTTTGTGGGATTCTCATTATGAAATTTTTAGTGCGGATGGAGAGTCCATAGGAGCCGCTTTCCAGTATGGGAGTGTGACGCCCGGAGCTACTCGCGGCGTTGAGCTCCCGAGCTGTACGTATGCGTCAACCTGTCAGCTGTCACATCCGTGGGTGGCTATTTATTTATTTATTTCTTGTTATATCTCAATCTCAAGATTGAACATTTTGCAAAATATAGTTTTGATTCTCTCTCATTTTTGATAAATAAAAAAACAAACTGCACAAACAAACAGATAATTATTTTTAAAATTTGACATATTTGACACTAGGACAGGCGTCTCATGCCATTTTACTGGAACGGTACAAATCAAGTAGGTTTTGGCATTAGCATTGCCGTCCTTGAACGCACCCCAGAAGTTAACTTCAAGTTAACTGTCAAAGCAGTTTTATAATACCCGCCCTAAATCTGGTAGATTCAGCTGCCGGATTCTATTTTACGAGTCTTTTCTTGCTTCAAGCAGATGCCAGCAGCTGATCGGCGTTCATTTGTCCCATAACTCCCATATAATAAGCTCATAAATAGCAGCTCCTAGCAGATCTTCCTGATTTTTCGAGCATGTAGCAAGTACAAATGAACAGCCTTATAGTAAGTGCTTATCTCACGACGCCAAATAGTGATACCTTCTTCATATTTTCATGATTATAATCCAGAAAACACTGCAAGTTTCCCATCTTTTCCATGCGTTTACATAGTAAACGCGCTAATAAAGGAATACAGGTGACGTCACAGCACTGGTAGACAGATTTAGCCGATTGAGCAATCCTCTGTAGAGTTCACGATTCTTGGTTGTGGGCGATTTTCACCAATCAAAAACGCTCTGACTGGTTTGTGATTTCTGTGAGTGAGTACAGCCTCTGTAATGCACTTTTAGGTCTGTTCTAACCACTGAGTTCCAACACGTCAAAAGCCTAGCCATGAATGGTTTCAAAACCACTCAGGGGCGAGTTCAGAAATAACACACCGGGTGTGAGTGCGATTTTATGGGTGTGACTGAAATGACAATTCTTAGGCGACAACTTTCGTATGAATTTCTGAACGCTTGGTGTGACCATTCGAGCATCTCCTCAAAAATTTCACAAAATCTATTAGGATTACTTTTTTTTGTTGTTCATTTTTTTAATTTGAAGGAAAAACTTTATTTGTTATTTGTGTTTTGTTAATATTTGGTGGGATTATTGAGATTATGGGAGGAATGGTTGACATTGTTGACATAAAGACACAATCACACCGCAGCCACACCAAAAAATTATGGTGTGACCGGTGCGACACCTGGAGCGCGCCCAAAGTACTTTCTGAACGGCACAGAGTGCGCGCACTCGGTGTGCCTATAGCATTTATGAACGGCTAGTGCGTCGCACCGGTGTCACACTCACACTTAGTGTGTCATTCCTGAACTCGCCCCAGTATACGAAATTCCGATTCTACGCACAAATTTAGACTTTGGGCAGATTCCTGACGGTACTTTGTACGCAGCGTTGCCCGACGTACGACAGGTGTGGTATTTGTACGACAGTTTAGGGCATATTCGTTACAAGAAAATCAATGCGTACGGTAGTACGGTAAAGTACCACAGTTTAGAAATATTGGGTTGATTGGGAATATTTTATGGTAATATGTACCACATTTCTACATTCTCCTTTTTTTCTTATGTGTGTTGGCCAAATTGGGTAAAAAATCTATGACAGATTTTCAAAGCTTGTGGCTTGAAAACAGTCTATAGGCAATTTTTCGCGAGGATAATCAATCAAGCATAATTTATCGATTATGCTTGATTATGTGATGTGTGAATTGTGTCATACCATACTCCCCCAACTCTCTCACCATCAAATTCTGGGATACTCGAGAATCATCAAGAACACTTAATTTCTTGTGAGAAAACACACCGAAAATTATTTTTCCTACATTTAAAATCGACGAAAAGATTCACAAACTCACTAGCACAGCCTGAATCGCGAGTATTCCATCGAGGTCTGCGGGTGATGTCATCACTATAAGCTGCTGATAGTGACGTCACTCGCAGGCCCAAAATTTGATGAGGAGGGAGTTAGGAGTTAGGGGAGTAGAGTATGACACAATTGACAGTTTATCAGTTTATGGCCGAGTTCGTTTTTGTCATCTTTTTCGTCGATTTGCTCCGAAATTTTGACAGGCACGTTATTTGTAAATTGAAACTGTCTGATCCAGTCTGTCAAAATTTCGAAGCAAATCGACGAAAAAGATGACAAAAACGAACTCGGCCTCCTATATGTATAGTACCTATTTATAGCTCACTAGATTCTGATTGACACATTACATAACCCAGCATAATCAGATAATGCTTGATTATCCTCGCGAAAAATTGCCTGCAAGCTTGAGAAAGTTGTTATAAAATTTTTGAGCATTTTAGCATTTATCAATGTTCGAGTTCTCGATACTCCTGTTGTTGTAAGGTCTATTTTCAAGTTTTCAACATTTTTTTCTAGTAAATACATATGTACTGGAAACGTAAGGTAATGTGTACCACAAGTATTCATGGCGCGTACGTCCCTGTACGACAGTTTTTGAGCATTGTGTACCACACTTCCATATTTAGAGTCTGGCAACGCTGTTTGTACGGTTTCCAGCTGATAGTTGGAACGGGCCTAGTATCAACCGCCGCGGCGGCGCAGCAGTCAAAGCTAAGATTTTTTTTACTGCTGAAATAATTAATTAAAAATAGCTTTTGCAAATTATGTTATTTATAATTGTTATAGTTTGTAAAATGTTCTGTGTATAATTCGATTAAGCAAATAGTGAAGAAGCAGAAAAGCCCAATTCTCCCTGCAGTGAAAAGTTACATGGATGGGAAGGAATGCAACCCTCTAAAGCCAAAACATTACATGTCAATATGTGTAGGCAGATTTTAAGTGAAGCATTTCATTATTTAATAAAACCATTTGAAGCATTGCAATGGGTGTGACATAACCAATAGATGAAAAAACGCGTGAAAAAATGAGTGATACCTTGCCAGGCAAGGGATGTCTTCCCAAAGTCTCCAATACTTGGAGATCAATGTTTGGTTCCTTTACCTCAACCAATAGGGTGCATCCATCTGATCCAGTGCCCCCTAAAGATAGTGAATTTATTCTCATTGATTCCAAAATTCAAATTCGAGCAGTCCATTTAGTTCCAGAAAGAGCGAGGAAATCATTATTAGTTAATCAAGATATTTCAAAAAGAGGTTCAGTTTCTGAAGAATATTGGTTTATGAGGAGCAAACCTTTAAGGAATATTAGTTGTAATTGTTCATTTAGGAATTCTATGAGAAAATCTTTTGGAAACTCGAATATTTCAGTCAGATCTTCTAATCAAAGAGAGTATAATATTAAAAGTGAGAGGTGAGTTTTATTCTTGCAAACTTCAAAATAAATAATAAATATAATAAATATTATCAATAACTCAAATATGCGGCAATATTCCTATACTTTATTAGGAAATATATGCATTTTTTTTAGTTTTGTACTCGGTTTTGTATGTGTCCAAGTGACACTCTGCAATAGGTAGGTATCCTCCCTGTTTGCACACATAACAAAATGGACTATTTATCATTTGACAGAAAAGTTGATACTAGCATCTTCTTGGTTTTCATGGCTGATCTACTTTGTCTGCAATTCAGAGGCTCATTCATTCTTGGATTCATTTTTATGGTCTAAAAAAAATTCAAATTTCCAAATAGTCATCCTTAATTTTGTTTTGTTACAAACTCGGTTACAAAGTACCGAGCAAAGTACCTATAGTTTATTTTTTAATGACAGTACGATGAATCAAACCCACCAAATTTGATCCCTAAACTCGCACAGAGTGACCCAAAACCTCACCCACAACTTGTATTAGCCTCATTCGTACACACCTAGCTACACAATTTTTACAAACTTCTTCAAGAAACCCTACCCAAAAGGCTTGATCTAACCTTTTCACTCGCCTTTTCAGCTTTCCAGATTCAATGAGGTGTATTTATGTAAATTATATTACCCTCGATATTACCCATAGGCCCAGGTAACAGATTTTGGGAGAATCAAAGGGAAAATACAATATTTGAAAATTCAATGTAAGGTTCACAAAAAATGTAAACTAAAAACTATACAAAAGTTGAAATCGAGGTAGGGACTAATAAGCACATTCAAGTTAGCACATCTCATTAAAAATTGTCACATAAAACTTCGTTATTTACTTACTTACTTATTTTTTTTTTAAATTGTTCTCCTGGAGAACTCTCATTATTTTTTAAAAAAATAATAGTAAACCTATAACATATTCCTTTTTTAGCTACAATAGATATTTTGAAACCCTTTAAACAGTGTTCAAAACTGTTATCAAAATCTGAGAGATACTTCAGCTCGTCTACCAATACAAAAGCCAGTATCTATATGGGTTATTGGTAATTCAATACATTCCTTAGGAGGACATGTAATGAGAAAAACAGAAACATTTACATATCTCAAAAACTGTTGTGTTTTGCATAAAGCATGTTACGGTTAAATTTCCTCCTTACCTCATCCCCTATCACATCTTCAAAGGAATGTATCGAATTACCAATTACCCTGTCTAAATGATCATTTAATCAAATAATGATCATGGATTAGTAGATAGTGTGTTGTATTCAAACAAAATAGTGGAAAATTTGAATTTTTCTAATAAATATGTAGGCATTTCTGCAAAAACGCTTGGGAGTTTATTGTCCATTAATGGCGCAGTTACTTTTAATGCTATTGCTAATGTTAATGATAATAAATTGCTTTATTTAGACTTTGATACAAATTTGGTTCTATGTTACAAGCAATATCCATTATATTCATTAAATAACAATACTACCTATAAACATTTTGATAAATTGGGCATAGAATAATAATTATTAACTTTAGCAATAATTAGCAATTTACTCTTGAATTTACTAAACGGAAAGCACCTATGTGTGTGTGCTTGAATTACATATTTTTTCGCTTTATCAATTTGTACATGTATCTTATTACTATACAGCCATCACCTGAGTGACACCACTCCCCCTCTTTTATGTGGTCAACCTCCCTAATACAATTATCATCCATCAGGAAGACTGAACAGTCAGGTCTGATTGGTTCAGGTAATGAAAAGGCTATACATATAGTTTCTGATGATCTTGAACCCCTTTTGTCGCCCTAGATCTTATTCCATCCCAATCTCTTCCTTTAAAAATCATCACAGGCAGCACTGTCAGTCTCGTATGATATGATATCTCTATCAATGTTTTTCATCAGCAGTATATAGTATATTAAGATATGTCATCAATGGGGTTCGCCTGAGCACTTTCCTTGTGACACACTAACTCTGATAATCTTCTCTTCACTAATTATGTTATTGTACCTAACTATCTGTGTTCTGCAGATCAGAAAATGTATCAACTAGTTTTCCTGATTTCACTCTGACACTGCAGTTCAGGAAATTGTATTAGAATTTTTCACAACTTTCCAGTTGAATATAATTTTCTTTTGTACATGTTCCTACCTACTGGTTTTTTTCATTCACTATCACGCCCACATTTCGGTTGAATTTTCTTTATTTTCATCATAACATTCAACTTTTGCTGTCTTTATCAATGTCAATCATTACTCTGTTTTCTTGTATTCTGTGCGTATATATTCCATTTATAATGTTCTTGTTTGTATTGCCTGTGATATAATCGGTCCCTTATTTTGATGATTGCTGGTTGATTAGATTAGTAAACGCCATAATGTTTAATACATACATACATACATACATATACATTAAATCGACCGTATTGTGTTTTCAGTTTCTTCCTTAGAAATATGTTAATAGATGAGAAAATTTGGAACAAATACATAGTTCTCATAAAATTCCTAATTTACTTATTAGTTTAGTCAAACTACTCAATAATTTTGAAAGCAGTCTTCAATTTAGTTGTGAAATCATAATGATATGTGATTCAATAATGAAAAATTAAGATTAAAATTATATTTGCAAATGTTTTTTTATTTTTCCCATAAAACCACTTTTAACATAATTTCACCTTTTTGGCGTTAAGACAATAAATTAAATTATAATCCCTACGAATTATAATTTTAGATTGGAACCGATATGTTCAAATGGTACAGAGGCAAAGGAAAATAAAGTAGAACAATTTGTTGATCAGCTAATTAAACAAACCCTAAATGACGTAATAAATGAATGCATCAAAAAAACTGTTACAGGTGGAATTGACAATCCTGCCTATGAAAGAACAGAAGATACTGTTATAACTTTGAGAAAAAAACATGTTATAGGAAAGTCAAATGAGGTGCTACAAAATTCTAGTCCGTCCAATTTAAAAAATTGCGTTCATGAAAAGAAGAAACCTTTGATCATGTTGATTCATGGTTTGGGAAGCACAGCTGACATGTGGAATGTATTGATGCATAACCTCTCCTTCAAAGGATTTGAAGTTGTAGCTCCAGATTTGCTTGGACATGGATTCAGTTCAGCTCCAAACAAAGCTAGTGTTTATCAGTTCAAAAATTTATTAAATCAAACTTTGGCTGTGTTCGATTATTTTATGAAAAAAGAGGATAAAAGGAAATGTATACTTATTGGACATTCATATGGGTAATAACAAAATATTTATTCCCTAGAAATGACTAAGATTTTATTTTACAAAATATGTTTTAGATGCAGTTTAATAACAGCTTTATACCCAAACAGAGCAACAAAAATTGCTCAGCTAGTACTAATAAGTGGCGGAGGTCCTACACCATTAGCCCCACCTGCTGATACGAATGATATTTCACCATATGGATGGGCTCATAATCTATGTTACCCTTTTATGTACTGCGGATTAAAAAGGAGCTTTTTTTATTCATCCAGAGGCAAAAATTTCAAGTTTTGTGAAGATCAATCGACAGTACCGCCTCTTTTGAAAAAATTTTTGATTCAGGGTCAATATTGGCCCGAGGGAGATGCATCTTACCATAGACGAATTTTGGTACCTACTTTATTGGTTCATGGTTTGAAAGATAAATATGTCACTTTGGTTCAAGAATGTGAAATGGAACGGGTAAATTCTCTTGAGAAAAATAATGTTGTGTTGCTAATTTTTATTTTCAGACAATACCAAGATCATTTCTGGAATTATTACCTGATGCAGGTCATATGTCAATGTTGGAGACCCCAGAACATCTTTCACATATGGTAACTTGTTTTTTAGAAATGTGGACTTGATTTTATCAAAATTTTAACTGGTGTGAAGTTAGCACGCGGCTCGAGCACGCCAAAGTGTAAAGTTAGAAAGATGGCGTTTTACGTTTAAATTTGGAAGGATGCTTGTGAAGGGATGCTTTATTATCCTCAAAAGGATAATTCCTTGCCAGCCGTCGAACTTAGGAAAATCATCGCTTGTATGAAAAAATATTGAAAAGTTCATATTTTCTTATTTTTTCTTCAGTCACCTAGATGGTGTTTCACGTTCAAGTTTGGAAGGCTGCTTGTTCGTGGGATTCTTTATCATCCCTTAAAAGGAAAATTCCTTGCCAGCCGTCAAACTTCGAAAAATCATCTCTTGTATGAAAAAATATTGAAAATTTCATATTTTCTTATCTTTTCATCAGACACCTAGATGGTATTTCACGTTCAAATTTGGAGGGATGCTTGTTCAAGGGATGCCTCATCATCTCTCCAAAGGAAAATTCCTTGCCAGCCGTCGAACATAGAAAAATCATCCCTTCAATGAAAAATGAATTAAGAATGTGTGGATATTTGCCCGAGCAACCCATACACGATTCGAGACTCGCCGAATACCGCATGTCTGTGCCCGCCTTAACACTGAAGACACATTCTTAATTCATTTTCCATCATTTTTCATTGAAGGGATGATTTTTCCATGTTCGACGGCTGGCAAGGAATTTTCCTTTAGAGGGATTCCTTGAACAAGCATCCCTCCAAAGTTGAACGTGAAACACCATCTAGGTGTCTAAAGAAAAAATAAGAAAATATGAAATTTTCAGTATTTTTTCACACAAGCCACGATTTGTCTAAGTTCGACGACTGGCAAGGAATTTTCCTTTTGAGGGATGATGAGGAATCCCTTGAACAAGCATACCTTCAAATTTGAACGTGAAACACCATCTAGGTGTCTAAAGAAAAAATAAGAAAATATGAAATTTTCAGTATTTTTTCACACAAGCCACGATTTGTCTAAGTTCGACGACTGGCAAGGAATTTTCCTTTTGAGGGGTGATGAGGGATCCCTTGAACCAGCATCCCTTCAAATTTGTATGTGAAGAAAAAATAAGAAAATATGAAATTTTCAATATTTTTTCATACAAGCAATGATTTTCCTAAGTTCGACGGCTGGCAAGGATTTTTCCTTTTGTTGGATGATAAAGCATCCCTTGAACAAGCATCCTTCCAAATTTGAACGTGAAACACCATCTTACGTGAATGAAAAAAAAAAAAAAATTGCGGCGTGCTAGAATGGCTTGCCAACTTCACACTTTGGCATGCCTGAGCGGCGTGATAACTTTACTTTTTGGCGTGCTCGAGCGGCGTGCTAACTTTTCACACTTTGGCGTGCTTACTTTACTCTTTGGCGTGCTCGAGCAGCGTGCTAACTTCACACCGGTAAAATTTTAATGAAAGAAAAATGATATTATTTTTTATTGGATCAAAGCCAGGTGATAATTATTTTTTTATAATATATTTTTTACTCGATTTTTTACCAAACCTTGATGGAATTTCTATTGTATTTTTGATAAAATTTATATTATGTAAGTAGATATTATTGATATGCTGCAGATAAATGTTATTTAATAATGGATTCTTATTTTGATATTTGAATAGACTGGTTATTATAAATATAAATTTATTAGGTTTTAATTTAGCACCCTATACCAGGTGCACCTAAAATGATTCACCCAAACACTTAAATGTACAGATGTCAGAGACAAAAATTCAAGTGACAAGAAAAAGATAAGTGGAAAAAGCTGAAAAACAACAAGTTTTTGAGAGAGAAAATACAATCTAGGGCCATAGTTCTGTTGGCCCTCCAGGCTTGTGTTTTTGTCTCTGGCAACTCACGGAACTAGACATCCTAACATGGGCTCTTCCGGTTCTCCTGGGCTGGTTCTTTGATCTAGACCTCGGTTTGTGTTGTTTTGAATGACACACCCAGTATAGTGTCAAAATAAAACTCTCAATTTTTATTCCTGCAGTTGGTTATATCAAGACTGAAATTAAGACAGAAAGTATTTATGTTGTGACCCTTTTTGCTGAGGAAAATGTGTGCAAATAGAGATAAAGATGAAACTTTGCGATTACTTAAAAGCTTATGGATTCCGATTAGCAAATCTTCTGGGCAACTATGCTGAAATGATTTGTCATCTGAATCAATCAAAATTATCAAATATAGCTAGAATATTAGTTAGACAATGCCATTGTTTGATTTTCAAGTGTGATCTTTTGTTTAGTGATTGAATCAGCCACGTTTCTGATTCGACAACCTCTTCGCTCCTCAAAGTCATGCATTATTCTCCTTCATTTATTGCAGTTCAAGGTCTAAGTTTCTAGTTCCATGTTCAGTCTATCTATCATACTTCGTTTTGAAGACACGATATTTGGTCGTTTTTTTATACTTCCATGCGTCAAGCTCAGATTTATATTTATTTTGGAAATCAAATATTTCTGGGATTAAAATACCCAGCTCATTAGAAGTTACCCAGTTGCTTTTTTCGGGATTCTTTGATTATCCAGAATAAAAATATTATGCAGCCTTTTGAGAATCACAATCAAAATAGGAAACTTTGGGGACGAGGTTGAATCTGCCTAATGTTGAACAGGAAATGAGATAATTATGTTCGCACATTTTTTCATATTATATATAAGGTACTTCTTCATATTTACATAAGTACAATATTTTTGACTCCTTGATTTATACATAAAACTTCTGTATGATCAAAGTTAAATTTTTATTTTTTGATTGACTGGATATGATGCTTTTTGATCCCTAGCAACTGGGTTATCGATATTTAATGATAGATAAGGTTTTTTTTTATTATAGTTTTTATCCATGTATGTGGGTGTCCAGAAATATATGCAACGGATTCTTAAAGAAAAATTAGTTGACTCGTATTTTCATACAGCTTCTTGAAAATCGCCTTTGATTGAATGGACTATCTAACAGGATATTGATTAAGGGTTAGGAAATTGAAATATGCAACCAAAGTTTTGTGCTTTCGACGACATGGGGGGGGTCAACGAAATAGTGTCTTAAGCGGGATCCTTCGGCTGAAACCTAGCATTATACCATTCCACCTGTCATGAAGCCCCTGTGTACCAAACTTAGTTATTCTGGTACTGAGAAACGAAAAAAATAATACTATTCTTGAAGGCGAGTTTCAGGAAAATAAAACTGCCATAAGAGGGACCACTTGTCAAAAATTGAACATATTGGTCATATTTGGCCACAGATACCTATCTGTGGCCAAATTTTGTTGCATTTATTTCCGGACACCCTGTAGGTATACATATTTGTGGCTGGTGTCTTAGGTTTCCATTTTTTATAACATGTGTCTTATTGGGAGAAATAATTTATCAAACACAATGTTGACATTAGTTTTACGCTAAATATATGTTTAATTTTATTGTGTATCGTTTGCGATATGTATATTATTGTATTATTATCAGTGAATTTCACAAAATTATTTATAGGTATGTATATATATATGAATGTTGTTATTTTCTTTTAAGTGTTTCTATAAATATTATTTTGCCATAATCTGCACAAAATCCCTTCTAACAGTACTGCCTGTATTATTTCAAATAAAATTTGATAAGAGTAGGAAATTTATATCAGTTAACCTGGTGTCACAAAAAAATCATAGAACCACGGATTTATTATTACTTTTTGTTGTATACCTACCGATTTCATAGTTTTTTATGAAATGTGTTATATTTAATAATTATTTATACTATTTTAACCATTACCAGACAATAATAATTAAGTGCTTATGTGTTAATTTGTTGCCGAGTTGTTTGGTATTTACCTTATAATTCTCGCTATAGTAATTGTGTCAGGTGTCAGAGAAATATAAGAGGTGCATAAAATGTGAAAATTTAGCTTTTACTATCAATAATTTTACACATATGGCTAAATAAGTGTGATACTTTGTAAAAAGACTCCGTCCTTTTTTTAATTGTTAGGATTTGGAAAATAAACTAAGAATAATTGAAACCAAAATTTTTTTATTTGTCTTCAAAAGATTCATTACTAGGTTCTGGCATAATACAAAAATTACTAAGAAAAAAGACTGAGATTATTTTATCCCCAACTTCAAAATGTACATATCAATTATTAAGACATTTTCATAGGTCTTGCAAATAACTACCTATCATTTATTTTCTATGGCACAATCTCAATCAAAGGACCCCGCACACTTCGCATGGGATTTCCGACCGTGGTCAAATTTAACCAAATTTTAGTATGTTATAGATGACTACTATGGGCACAACTTAATCCTGTGACTAGTTTTTGAGATACAGGTAGTTTAATGTCCAAGAAATGTACACATTTGATATGCATGTACATCTACCAGTCACCTAGTAATATACCAGGATGGACAGGTATCCTCTCGCTCAGGTGACGACAGATAGATATAAATGCATATGAAATGTGTACCAGACAAAATGAATTTCATTGGTTGAAACTACTTTTCTGACTGTTTCTGATTGTTTTCACCCAATGAAATTCGAGACTGACGGGTTTGTGATTTCTGCAGAAACAGACCTGTTATATTGTTGTAAAATTAGGACATTTATTTTTCCTTGAGTTTTTATTGTACCCATGCAAGTTTTTAATTTGTTCTGTGAATTAATTAAAGATTTTGAGAAATATTCTTCCGCGATTGAGGGTCTTATTAAAGAGGCAAGACTTCCTGTGTCGATTAGTAATTTACACAGTGGAAAGTCTATTTGAATAAAAGTAAGTTGGTTGATTTAATAAGCATTTAAATTTAATGCTGATCCATTACATCTTACATCCAAGGCTGGAAACTGAAAATTTTCGTATGCAGTTTCGACTTGATATTTCTCAAAATTTGCCTGTTGTACGTTTTGATCTTGTTCTGAATTTTCCTCATTTTGGTCAAGGTTTGATAAACTGTAAAAAAACTTTGGTTTTTGTTGTGTATACGTTTGCTGTGAAAGAAATTGCGTACTTTTCTTAGTTTTGAAATTTTAAAAATTTTGATTTGTGGAATGATACCTCTACTACATTCCATATGGTTTTCAGCTAGTTGGTAATTTCACACAAAGGTATAAGCTGGACCCAAAGTTTGTGGATTTTGGACCATTCGAATTGTTCTCAATTAGGTTTTGAATAGCGATTATTTTGTTCTGTTCACTCACAACAGGTGCAAGTACCGTTAAGTTTCAGTCGTACATAGTTTTAGATGTGATTCTTTGAGCTATAAACCTTTAAGTTTATCCAAATATTCGATCGATAATGGTTTCCTTATTAGTTTCAGTTGTATACATAAGTTATTGTACTAAATTTTGTCTGGAATATTGATCACCATGTTTTATTCTTAACTCTTCTCTTATATCAGTCCCTGTTTGTAAATCTGGACATGCCGTAAGAAAATTTCCCGCGATTGATTAATTTAGATTTTATGGCGGTAACCACATATTCTTTCTGGGTCGATTAACAGCCCAGTTCCGTTTCAGATTATAGTTCCCAAAAGATTTTTTTTCGTACATTCTTTCAACTTCCTTATTTAACATAGGTTCGTTTTTGGGGTGACTTACATAAACGGATCAAAATTACTGATAATTTTGAATGATAAACTTGTCAGACAATTTTTTCTTCTTTATATTTTGGTGAAAGAGGTACAAATAAAAGGAAAAAAAAAAGATTGTGGTACAGATGGCTGTTACATTATTTTTTCTCCTATATGGATATTTTATATAGTTTTTTTTTTTTTTATCAATAATCCCCTTTCAATTTTTACCTAATAAACCTGGTGCTTAGAAAAATTCTCTGGCCATTTTTAATTATTTTTCAGGATAAAATAAGCTAAGAATAATAAAAATATTTTTATTTAACAATTATATAGATACATATATGTATTTATTATTTATGTGAATGTAGTATAAAGGATGTAAAAAATTATATATATCAATAAATTGTTGTATACCAAAATTTGCTACAAATAAGTTTAGTTTATTAAAGTTTCTGGGTCATTTCTGGAACAGCTTTGAACAAATCGGCAACTAATCCAAAATCTGCTACTTGGAAGATTGGTGCATCAGGGTCTTTGTTTATAGCAACAATTGTCTTACTATCTTTCATACCAGCCAAATGTTGAATTGCCCCGGATATACCAACAGCTATGTAAAGATCCTAAAAGTATCATTAATTTTGCTATATTATTCAATATTTGGGTGGGAATTATGTATTCCCTACCATATCCGTAAGATATCAGAAATACTTACAGGAGCAACAATTTTACCAGTCTGGCCAACTTGTAGGTCATTAGGGACATATCCAGCATCTACAGCTGCTCTGGAAGCTCCAACGGCGGCATTGAGCTTATCAGCTAGATCATACAGCAATTTGAAGTTGTCTCCTGATTTAAGTCCCCTACCTCCACTCACAACTACTTTAGCACTGGTAAGTTCAGGTCTGTCAGATTTGCTCAATTCCTGGCTAATAAAGCTAGTTAATTGGGTGTCACACCCATCAGATGGTAACTTTTCTACAGCTGCTGATCCAGATCCTAGCTGAGAAGCTTCAAAGCTTGTACCTCTGACACTTAAAATTTTCACTGGATCAGTTGCTTGTAAAGTTTGTATCGCATTGCCAGCATATATGCTTCTGATAAAAGTATCTGCAGACTTAATACCAATGACATCTGAGATAGGAGAGACATCCAGTTTAGCTGCAACTCTTGGCAATAGTGTTTTTCCAAAAGATGAAGCTCCAGCAATGATATGGGTATATTTAAATTGATTTTGAGCTGCTACAATAAGGGCAGCAATGTTTTCCGCGGTAAAACCTTTGAAAGAATCACTCTCAGCAACTAAAACTTTAGATAGACCTTCTGCTTTAGCAAGTTGTTCTGCAGCAGGACCACATTTTGTCCCTGCTATAAGCACAGAAATTTCACCTCCTATTTTTTTAGCTGCAGTTAATGCATTTTGTGTTATCGGCAAGAGGTTTTCATTGTTGTGTTCAGCTATAAGGAGTGTACTTTGAAATCTTTGAAATTGGCCTGTAACCTGTACAATAAAAAACAAACATTGGAAAGTAATTTTTAGGCCAAAAATTAGGTGCTTAGGTACTTACATTTCGTGTTACGTGTCTTGAAAACATGGTCGGACGAAAGGAAAAACTGAGCTTAAAATTTATAAATATAATGCCATTAATTAAATTCAGATTAAGGCAACAATTTCAGGTCAAAGTACAAACTACACAAATTTTATCATTAAAAAAATAAAAGCAAGGAAGGTTTGTTCGATTCTTAAGCACGGTCTACACGCAACGATGTATCGTACGATTTGGATGCGCAAGTAAGGGCGGGTATTATAAAACTGCTTTGACAGTTAACTTGAAGTTAACTTTTTGAATTACATGTAGTTCCAGAAGTTAACTTTAAGTTAACTCTCAAAGAAGTTTTATAATACCCACCCTAAATCGTTAACTGTGCAAAGTCGGAGGTCGGAGTTGGGAGTTTGAGCATTGGTTTGAGCCGGAAAGCATAGATTTCGGAGATTTGCTCATGCAAGTCGTAACGTGTGTACGCTTGTCGGACATTTGCACAGTTCTTAGCTGCAATTTGTCCTTTTCACAACAAAATTTAGAGGCTAGGTCACAGTGGCGCAATTAGGGGGGGGCTTAGCCCCCCCAAGCTCAAGATTAGCCCCCCCAAACCCAATGGTCACAACGATGATGGTAATGACACAAATAAGCCATCCATCCTCTCAAACCCGAGCGAGCAGATCTGAGTCGCTTTCCAGTAACGTACTTCAAACATTCCTGAGCCGCTTTCCAGTATGCACATTGGCGCGCTCCAGAGCACCTCGGGGGCGCCACGCACTAGATTTGTACCGTTCCAGTATCATGGCGTGAGACGCCTGTGTTAGTGTCAAATATGTCAAAGGCGATTTTCAGCCCTGTGGTGCGATTTTCGAAACCATTCGAGTACATTTCGTACACGAAATTTGACTGAAAGCAATGTAAATTAAATGGGGAGCAGTCAAATTTCGTGTACGAAATGTAATCGAATGGTTTCGAAAATCGCACCCCTGGGCCGAGATTCTAAAATCACGATTCGACACACGACTCGACAACGATACCGGCCTTGTCGTCTCGAAAGGTATAATTCCAATGAGATTTCTAACCTAGAATCGTCGGGAAAATCGTGAATGATTATTTATCGGTAAATACCGTGGTTATTCTTTTGGTTGACAACTTTGACAGCCAAGTATGACGTCATAGCCCCCCACCATTCAAGAATCATAACCCAAGGAACTGACCGCTGAAATGATTTGGTTATAGCAGTGTAGAATTATGTTTATTATTCTTATTTGTTTTTTCGTTTCAACAATAATTTTTTGTTTGGGTACAAAAAATGGAGCTGAATCTCTCGTTAGTCTCGTTTATCGAACAGATTTTCTTTGGGGATGATCTAAACCTCGATCTAAACATGGTGAATTGCAGTGGAGTGAGTGAATGTATACTTTCTTTCATTGTGCCAGGCTACAACGCAACTGCAAAATCACAAAACACCAATACAAATTCCAAAAATAATAACAATAACATCAAAAAGCTGTAACCAAAAGATTAACCCAAGTCCAAAGCTGGGTTATATTCGGTTATAAGTGGTAAATACCAAAAGCAAATCAGCTGATATGTGACGTCACAACTTCCCCTACTTTGGTTAAAACCGCAAGGGCGGAAATGCATTGGTTATAACCAAATAATAATCATTCCAGGCTGAAAATCGCCTCAAATTTTAAAAATAATTATCTGTTTGTTTGTGCAGTTTGTTTTTTTATTTATCAAAAATGAAAGAGAATCAAAACTATATATTTTAAAATGTTCAATCTTGAGATATAACAAGAAATAAATAGATAAATAGCCACCCACAGATGTGACAGCTGATAGGTTGACGCGTACGAACAGCTCGGGGGCTCAACGCCCCGAGTAGCTCCGGGCGTCACACTCCCATACTGGAAAGCGGCTCTGACCTGCTCTAGAGCGCCCTGGACTGTTTATAGGCATTCCAGTGCATTAAGGGGGTTTTACATGCTGCAATAAATCTTGCAGTTAGACGGTGCAAGTGCAAGTACCTGCAAGATTTTTTCTGTAAGATTTCTTGCGCCGTCTTGCGGTTTGTTTTTACATGTGTTTTGAAATCTTTCAATTGCTTTCTTCTGCCAACATAAAAGGCATTTTTTAGCGAGATCCCAGTAACAACCGTTTATAACCGGTGCGGTTATACACGGTAACACTCCCAGTTCAAAAATATATCCCTACCATTGGCAGATTTCTAGGATAAAACCGTTTTTCGTTAAAACGGAACGGTTATAAAAAATTTACAGTAAAAAGAGGTTAGTTTATATTTTGTGATAAATATAAAAAAAATGAAGTCATTTATTAAGTCTTTTATTACTAATTGACGATATTATGTTTGATAGAGCGTGATAGGACATTTTCTTGCGAGCGCGCATATCCGTAAACAAAAAAAAAAAAAACACCCTGTATATTCTAATTTCTAAGTCTTATCGAGCCAAGTATAGTAGTCCCTTGAAATGTATATTGCGAGAAAATCATGAGAGACAGCTTATAGACCATAATGCAAGATCTGCCATTTTTTGATATCCTCCAATAACAAAAAAATCTCAGAAAAAACTCACTTTTACACATCAAAACAATCACAAAGTGAATCTAGGGTTAGAATTTTTCAGTTACTCAACTCTCGACTTGGGTATCAAAAACAATAACCGTGTTATAGAACGATGACGTCACTTTATTACCGTTTTCTCGCAAAAACGGATCGGTTATTGATTTCCTGTAACCGCTTGTAACACGGGAACTAACGGGAACTCGCTAAAAAATGCCTAAAGAAAAAAAAATTATAGGAAAACAGAACCTTACTTTTCCATACCTATTCTTGTTGGTGTTGGTAGTTGGTACCTACTTGTTTACTATCACTTTGTTGTATGTAAAAAATGAATCGTATTGTATTTCAAAAATTAATAGTAGAATAGAAATAGAAAAAAGGTTATTGCTGCTAGTCTTTGCATCATTATTGGATTGGTGCCGCTACTATGTTACAAGAAAACATTGTATTTGCCTACGATACGTCGATACCTACGTGTTGATGATTCTCAGTATAAATAATTAAATATCTCTAGCTGCATATTGAAAATTAAAATTGATTCAAACAGAATGTCATAGGTTCCTACCTGATATCATTATATCATATTTTGTTTCCTATGAAACGTAGGTACCTACCGCGAGGTACCTATGTACCATCGTCACCAAAAGTAACTGGGACAGCTTCACATAGCTCTTGTCCTATTATATGAATTTTATTGTCAAATATTTGTCAAACTATAAATCAAATGCATTGAAATGAATGACAGTAGAATTAGTCCATGAGATTATTATGCATTATTTGTGTCCCAGATACTTTTGGTGACGATGGTACATAAAAGTAGATTATTTTCAGTGTATAATTAAATAAATATAAATGATCTCTACTTGGATTTATCTGTATTTTAAATCGTTAAACACGGCTCTGACAAGGTCCCTAATCTATTCTCATTAATCAATAAATATAAACATTATTTTAAAAGTAGTAACTTTTATTGAAAGTTGGCATGCCAAAAATTACCAAACTTTCCCCCAAAAATACTCTTGCAGAGTCTTGCACTTGCAGAAATATCGAACAGAACCGATAAGTTGCAATTGCAAGAAGTCTTGCAACTTGCAATCAGCTGGGTGTGAACTGCGCATGCCTTTTGCAAGAGTTCTTGCAACTTGCACCGACTTGCAGGTACTCTTGCAGCATGTACAACCCTCTTTTAGAGTTATCAAAAACACGAAGCTTGAAGTAGGGTGCGTTCCCGTGACACAACAGTTTTTTAACCCTTTCGTCTGCTGATCCGTGTCTGTTTGTGCACTTAGAAGGAATTTAATTTAACAGAACTTCTTCAGTTTTTAGGTTGTTTTTAGTACCGATTTAAGTAGTTTGAGAAGTCTTAAACCCAATATACAGGGTGTCTTAGCTGAGAGTGACCCATTTTAAAAGCTTATAACTTTTAAACCAAGTCTACTGGGTACCTGCGGTTTGTGCCATTCGATTTCTTTTGGCCTAAAGTTTTTTTTAGTAGGTTACAAATTTTTTTGAAACGTATACAGGCCGAGTAAAAAAAAAGAAGCTTTTCAACATCGAAATTCTCCACCATTTCTAATGGAACACCCTGTATATCGCAACGTCAAAAAAAAGATTCATGTTCAAGGTATCCATGTACCAATAGACATCGTCCCTAAAACCTGAAGTTTTAGCCGTGAAAAATCGAAATTGAATTTTTTTGCAAATGCATGCAACTTCATGTTGTAGGTACTTGATATCACTCTATGTCTATGGCAAAAAAATTTGTAACTGTCTAGTTAGATATCAATTAAGTTAAAATACTCTTTCTAAGAAAATTTAACGAGTTCCAGAGTATTTTCTCGGGAAATCGTTAAATGGAGATACCCGAACAGTAACAGTTTGGTGTGCAATATCTACTGAGAAAAAATACAGACAATTTTTATTAACTAACTACAACAGAAACTGTATGCACTGATATGCTCTTTTTCCCACAGTCAAGACAGGAGGATATCTGGGATGATATCTATTTTCAGCAGAATGGTGCCCCCACCTTAAGCCTAGTCTCCATAGACGCGAAATCGCGGAAAGCGAATTTTTTAAGTGTCATTTTTTGGTGGCTATTTCCGAGCAAATTATTCCCATGTCTCCATAAGCGCGAAATTCGCGTTTTATTTAACAGGTTAAGGTTACCTATGTGTTGTTGTTCGTAATCAATTTCAATTTGAATTCGATTTAAATGCTTTGAATTTCAAACACTAATCTTTGAAAACCATGAAAGTGATTACTAAAAAACAAAAAAAGATATGTGTCTTGGTGTTGTCTTAATTACATTTAAGGCCCTATTATAATCTTCCTCATCAACCAGCAAGCTGTAATTTATGTCTGTTTTCGGGTCTACAATATTCAATTCTTTGGCAGTATCCATTCTTTATTAGGTATCTACAAGTACAAAACACATCAACGACTCACAGAGAACAGAGCACATACAGACAAAAACATAAACAAAACTAAACTGAAAGTAACACCACATAACCTCATTTTTTTTTGGCGAAATTTCGCGGAAAGTTAAAAAATAGTTAACTTTTTTGCGACGCCGCAAGAAGTTAAAAAATTCGCGAATTTTTCCCGCCATAAAAAAA